TTTCCAATACAGATTCCTTGCATGTTGTTGCAGCAGTACTTGCAATTTGGCCATCACTGGAGTTCGGATAGGCCCAGGGGACGGCAAGATATAGGAGCAGCCTTGTTGCTGCTTGCTGCGGCTGCGGCAGCCCCGAGGCACCTATTTTGAAATTGGCATCTTTTTTAATTTGTATGAAATTGGCCAAATTGCCAATTTCTGATGACTTCATTTTGTAGTTGAAATCGGTAAATGGATGTTTTCTTGTACTCAATTGATAGAACAAATGGAGTTCTAAAGAAATAGCTATGAGTTTGGTTGACTGGAAAAATGGAATTGGCCTTAAATTAGGCTCAAAGTGGGCGAAATCGCCGATGCATATATACAGTGGTCCCTCGTTTTTCATAATTAATCCGTTCCTGGAAGTGTGACTATTATTGAAATTGACGATTTTCGAATCCATTTTCCCCATAAGAAATAATGTAAATCCAATTAATTCATTGCAGATACCCAGAAGTATCAACAAAAATTTTTTTTTACCTTAAAGATAGATTTACATGCACAAAAGAATGAACATTCAACATGACAGTTACCTTTATAGATGGCTGTTGTTGATGAATGGAAGACAGGGAGGAGGAGAGTGGGAAGAGAGGTTATTGTTTGGAAGGGAAATCCCCCTCCATAAGGACTCTATACGTCACTTCAGGGGTCACTTCCCTAGCTTAAATATAGATTTACATGCAGAAAAGAATACCAAATAAATGTAAAGCACTAATAAAATGTAAATGAACATTGGTAATAGGGGTAGTTGATGAGTGGAATGGTCTGCCTAGTAGGGTGATCAAAGCTAAAACATTGGGTAGTTTCAAATTTAGGTTGGATAAATACACGAGTGAGAAGGGTTGGATTTGAGTCGGACTTGCACCTGAGCTTATTGATTGGGTAGTATTTGTTCTGTTAGTCGGTTGGATTTGTGAAGGACCTCCCTAGTATGGGCCAACAGGCCTATTGCAGTGTTCCTCCTTTCTTATGTTCTAAAAGCTATGGCTTGGGTAGTTTCAAATTTAGGTTAGATAAATACATGAGTGAGAGGAGTTGGATTTGAGTCAGACTTGCACCTGAGCTTATTGCTTGGGTAGCATTTGTTCTGTTAGTGGGTTGGATTTGTGAAGGACCTGCCTAGTATGGACCACCAGGCCTGTTGCAGTGTTCCTCCTTTCTTAAGTTCTTATGTTCTTATTTAACATCACACTTACCTTTATTGAAGACTTGGTTGTGTGAGGGAGGGATGGCAAGTTTATTGTTGGAGAATATGGCACTAATATCAACTCTGCAGCTTATTTATCTATCACAATTCAACTAATATGACATAATAAACAATACTAATAACATAGAAACATGGAATATACTCAAGAATGAACAAAATAAATCATTATGTATGTCACAAGGTGACATACATAATGATTTATGTATGTCACTGAGAGTAAGCCGTCCATAATGGTGGTAAAGCAGCAGCTGAGGCGGCGGTGTTTTCTGTAGCCCTATATAACTCCAACAATATTGGAGGAGTTAGTAGTATTGCTGAATCACTGAAGAAGGCACCCTCTACCACCATCACAACCACTACCACTGTCTACCACCATCACTACCACCTTCTACCACTATTGCAACTGCTACTACCATAACTACCACCTTCTACCACTATTACAACTGCTACCACCATCACTACTGCCTTCTACCACTATTACAACTGCTACCACCATCACTACCACCTTCTACCACCATCACTACCACCCTATACCACCATCAACCACTATCACAACTGCTTCCACTCTACCACCACCACCACCACCTTCGTATTTTTCTACAAATTTTTTCTTAAATTATGTGTGTTTCTCACATTCTTTACCAAAGGGCTGGCACTAGAAGGTTTCTTTGGAGCCATGGTGACTTATTTAGCAGTTGCAAGCACTCAAATAAATGGAATATTATGAAATGTATCATATGAACTCGTGGGATCATCCTCACTCACTTATAAACAATGGCACACTGGCTGGGAATGGAGTGTGAGGCGGCTCAGGGCTGTGTGTACACGTCCCAGATGAACGACAATTCACGAGCCAATGTTTTGATGAAAATAACGTTATGATTTTCGAAAATTACGACTATCGAGCCTTATGATTATTGAGGGACCACTGTATTGCTGAGATCGTTAACTTCGCAAGAGTGTAATTCCATGTTTTCCATCAAATTTCAAACTTTTGGTGTTATTACCACCGAGAAAAGATTCTCTATCATTTCATACGAAAAAATACTTTTTTTATTTTTCGAATATTTTGCAACACAGAAAGACACTTCAGGATTTGGGGTCGTAACAGTCAGAGGGTCAAAGTGCAGACATTGCACTTCCAATTTCCAGGACTCAAGTCTGGCTAACCTGTTTCCCTGAATTCCTTCACAAAATATTATCCTGCTCACTTCAACTATTTTGCTGAAATCTGCTCTCAGTAGTAATAAAATACTATAATAAAGATTAAAATGTTGTATACTTACTTGGCAACTTGAACGTAGTTCCCAGGGAAGACACCAGTTCTGTCAGTTGTAATACAACGCCCTTTGAACCATCCATCTTGACATTTTTCTGTCACAGTGTATATGTAGCCCTTTCTTAATTCTAGCTCATCAGCTTTCCGTCCTCGGTAAGAGTATAAGGCCACATAACTGGAATGAAGTTGTCTTAGAGTATTTATATAAATATTAATGCAAGTTTCAAGCACAATAATAATAATAATAATTTTTTTTTTTACGATGAAGCATACAAGTGAGAAGTACTACTTAGATATGGGTAAAGAGCTGTTTGCTACATCTATGAAATGAAAGACATGCAATAGGGTGGAAAGGGAAACAATTTGACAGATGGTGCATATGTATGGGATAGGAGGAAAGTTAATAAAAGCAGTTAAGAGTTTTTATGCAGTGTGAGGCTCAGGTTAAGGCATGTGGAATGGAGAATTATTTCTCTTTGAAATTTAACTCAGACAGGGATGAATGATAATTACTGATGGGGTTGTAAAAGAAGTGAATGCTAGAGTGTTGGGAAGAGGTTTGGGATTAAAAGATGTTGGATCTGACAAAAAGTGGGAATTATCACAGTTACTCTGTGCTGATGACAGTTCTACTGAGGCATTCTGAAGACATGTTACAAAGGTTGGTGGATGAATTTGGGAGGGTAAGTAAATAAAAGTTAGCTGGACTTGAGCCCTGGAGGTGGGAAGCACAGTTCCTGCACTGTAAAGGAGGGGTTTGGGACATCCACCAACCTTTGTAACATGTCTTCAGAATACCTCAGTAGAGGGACATCTAAACTGTCGTATCATGTGCCTTTGGCAAGACAGTGATAGTGTGAATGATGGGGAATGTTTCTTTTTCAGGTCACCCTGCCCCGATGGGAAGCATCCAGCGTGTAAAAAAAAAAAAAAGATAGGAAAAGGAATTAAAGGTGTATATAGAAAAGAGCAAGATGATGAGAGTAACAACAAAAAAATCAGGGCAATGAAAAATTGGAAATCAGACTGGAAGTAGGAAACACAGAGGAAATTAAAGTATTTGGGAATGGACATGTCAGCAGATGATCTATGAAAGACTAGTTAAGACACAAAATAAATGAAAGGAAAAGGTAGATAATATGCTGAGGTATATTTGGAGAGACAGAAGTTAATTTATGAGATAAAATGGGTAATGTACCAGAGTCTAGTGTAGTACCAACCTTTTCATGTGGGTGTAAGGAATAGGCTCTAAATGTTTTAGCAAGAAGGTTGGAGGCAGAGGAGATGTCATACTTGAGAGCAATGTGTGGTGTGGATATTAAGCAATTAATTCAGGATGAATAAATCATCTGATGAGACAGGGTTATGAAAAGTATTATTTAGAGGGCAGAAAAGGGTTTGTGATGTGGTTAATGAATTTAAAGAATATGGTACAGAATAGGATGACCAAATGAGTCCATAAACCCCCCTGCCCTTTCAGCAGGCGTAATCCAAAAAAAAGGGGTTGAAAGGAGGGTGGTAAGGTTTTAAGTGGTAGGGGCTTGAGCATCTAACAGGCATGTATCCGTGCGCATGCGTTGTGTGTGCGTGCATGTGTGTGCGTGTGCTGTGCGTGTGCGTGTGTGTGCGTGTGTGTGTGTGTGTGTGTGGTGTGTGTGTGTGTGGTGTGTTTTTTTGTTTTTGTTTTAGACTGGGGCAAGTGGATAATAGTAGTTTTTAAGAAGAAATTCAAGAAAACTGGTTGAACCGACAAGGTGGTGGTAAAGTACGACGAATGCACTAGGGATCTTGGGATGTTATACTTTGGAGGGTCATTTGAACTGTGCTGTCTGTGCATATCTGGCAAGACAGCTACTGAACAAATTTATTTTCCAAATTTTTGCCAAGTATAGTTGTACTGTGGTGTATAGTAAAAGGATCAAAATATGAATATACGTATATATCTTACAATGTGGTTGCTGTCACTTGTTGTGTAGACGATGATAACCCTAGAGAGCTTAACGAGATGGTAGATGGCTGTATTCTTGGTGAACCTTGAAGTTCCGTCAACACTGTTTGCTCTCCAGTAACAGGGGTTTCCTGAGGCAGGTCTACTGTAGTTCCTGGCATGCTCCCACTGCCACCAATACCACTACCACCACTATACCCAGATGAACCCACATTACAACCAGGGTTGGAAGGATCCTCGGTAGGACTTAAAATTTCTAAGGAATGTCTGTTGAGAAGAGAATGAATAAAAATAGCAACATAATATATATCTAATGACTGAATTACTGAGAAACAATGGAAACACAGTATTTCTGCCTTGTCTTCATAGAAGTTTCTCATCCATAATACAAATATGGAAATTATATGCATAGACTATTGTAATAATATGCAATCTTTTCCTTTCAATAAGTCATATCAACTACTTTGTATGAAAACTTCAACTGATTGCAAAAAAAAATTCTATATTCAGATACACAGTAATTTAAAAAAAATTGAGATTCCAGTTTTGGAAATTCTGGTGTAAGTAATCAATTATTATAGAAATGAAGCAAGTACTGTAATAGTGATTAATGTCATACTGCACAAAAACACAGGAACCACACAAGACACTAATACAGAGGACCCTCAACCAATGGCTTTAATCCGTTCCAGAGAGCTAGCCTTTAGTCGAATTAGCCATTAGTCAAATTAATTTTCTCCATAAGAAATAATGGAAATCCAATTAATCCGTTTCAGACAGGCAAAAGTATTAACAAAAAATATGTTTTTTAGAGATATAAGATATAAGCGACTATTGGCAGAAAGGTGGGCTAGTGCAAAGATGAGTAGTGGGGGGTTGAAGAGGGTTGGATGAGTTTTAAAAATGCAGTATTACAATGTGGGGCAGAAGTTTGTGGTTATAGGAGGGTGGGGGCAGGAGGAAAGAGGAGTGATTGGTAGAATGATGAAGTAAAGGGTGTGATAAAAGAGAAAAAGGTAGCTTATGAGAGGTTTTTTACAAAGCAGAATTGTTATAAGAAGAGCAGAGTATATGGTGAGTAAAAGAAAGGTAAAGAGAGTGGTGAGAGAGTGCAAAAGGAGAGCAGATGATAGAGTGGGAGAGGCAGTCAAGAAATTTTAATGAAAATAAGAAAAAATTTTGGAGTGAGTTAAACAAGTTAAGAAAGCGCAGGGAACAAATAGATTTATCAGTTAAATACAGAGTAGGGGAGTTAGTAGATGGGGAGATGAAGGTTTTGGGTAGATGGCGAGAATATTTTGAGGAACTTTTAAATGTCGACGAAGAAAGGGAGGGGTAATTTCATGCACTGGCCAGGGAGGTATATCATCTTTTAGGAGTGAAGAAGAGCAGGATGTGAGTGTGTGGGAGGTGCGTGAGACATTACGTAGAATGAAAGGGGGGTAAAGCAGCTGGAACTGATGGGATCATGACAGAAATGTTAAAAGCAGGGGGGTGTTGGAGTGGTTGGTATTTTTGTTTAATAAATGTATGAAAGAGGGAAAGGTACCTAGGGATTGGCGGAGAGCATGTATAGTCCCTTTATATAAAGGGAAGGGGACAAAAGAGATTGTAAAAATTATAGAGGAATAAGTTTACCGAGTATACCAGGAACAGTGTACGGTAGGGTTATTATTGAAAGAATTAGAGGTAAGACAGAATGTAGAATTGCGGATGAGCAAGGAGGCTTTAGAGTGGGTAGGGGATGTGTAGATCAAGTGTTTACATTGAAGCATATATGTGAACAGTATTTAGATAAAGGTAGGGAAGTTTTTATTGCATTTATGGATTTAGAAAAGGCATATGATAGAGTGGATAGGGGAGCAGTGTGGGAGATGTTGCAAGTATATGGAATAGGTGGTAAGTTACTAAATGCTGTAAAGAGTTTTTATGAGGAAAGTGAAGCTCAGGTTAGGGTGTGTAGAAGAGAGGGAGACTACTTCCCGGTAAAAGTAGGTCTTAGACAGGGATGTGTAATGTCACCATGGTTGTTTAATATATTTATAGATGGGGTTGTAAATGAGGTAAATGCTAGGGTGTTCAGGAGAGGGGTGGGATTAAATTATGGGGAATTAAATACAAAATGGGAAGTGACAGTTACTTTTTGCTGATGATACTGTGCTTATGGGAAATTCTAAAGAAAAATTGCAAAGGTTAGTGGAGGAATTTGAGAATGTGTGTAAAGGCAGAAAGTTGAAAGTGAACATAGAAAAGAGTAAGGTGATGAGAGTATCAAATGATTTAGATAAAGAAAAATTGGATATCAAATTGGAGAGGAGGAGTATGGAAGAAGTGAATGTTTTCAGATACTTGGGAGTTGACGTGTCGGCGGATGGATTTATGAAGGATGAGGTTAATCATAGAATTGATGAAGGAAAAAAGGTGAGTGGTGTATTGAGGTATATGTGGAGGCAAAAAATGTTATCTATGGAGGCAAAAAAGGGAATGTATCAAAGTATAGTAGTACCAACACTCTCATATGGGTGTGAAGCTTAGGTTGTAAATGCTGCAGCAAGGAGGTAGTTGGAGGCAGTGGAGATGTCCTGTCTAAGAGCTATGTGTGGTGTAAATATTATGCAGAAAATTCGGAGTGTGGAAATTAGGAGAAGGTGTGGAGTTAATAAAAGTATTAGTCAGAGGGCTGAAGAGGGTTTGTTGAGGTGGTTTGGTCATTTAGAGAGAATGGATCAAAGTAGAATGACATGGAGAGCATATAAATCTGTAGGGGAAGGAAGGCAGGGTAGGGGTCGTCCTCGAAAAGGTTGGAGGGAGGGGGTAAAGGAGGTGTTGTGGGCAAGGGGTTTGGACTTTCGGCAAGCGTGCATGAGCGTGTTAGATAGGAGTGAATGGAGACAAATGGTATTTGGGACCTGACGATCTGTTGGAGTGAGAGCAGGGTAATATTTAGTGAAGGGATTCAGGGAAACCAGTTATTTTATATAACCGGACTTGAGTCCTGGAAATGGGAAGTACAATGCCTGCACTCTAAAGGAGGGGTTTGGAATATTGGCAGTTTGGAGAGATATATTGTGTATTTTTATACATATATACTTCTAAACTGTTGCATTCTGGGCACCTCTGCAAAAACAGTGATTATGTGTGAGTGAGGTGAAAGTGTTGAATGATGATGAAAGTATTTTCTTTTTGAGGATTTTCTTTCTCTTTGGGTCACCCTGCCTTGGTGGGAGATGGCCGACTTGTTAAAAAAAAAAATGTTTTTTAAAGATTAAATATAAATATACATACAGAAAACAATGGCAAATAAATATAAAGCACTAATAAAATGGATAAATGAATATTTAACATCACACTTACCTTTACTGACTTGACTTGTTGATGTATGACAGACACATAGGAGGCAAGAGAAAGGCAAGTTTATTATGCTTCAATATGACACTAATATCATCTCTACGGCTTATTTATCTATCAAAATTCATCTAATATGACATTGTAAACAATATTAATAACATAGATACATGATATCTTCTGCCAGCACCAACATCACACTTAAACAATGTATGTAATTTATAAATAATAAATATTTAATTTTAATTTATGAATAAGTAAGTTTATTCAGTTATACACAAATACAGTTACATAGATTATCATACATAGCAGCATATGTGTAAAGTACCTAGGATAACCCAAAAAAGTCAGTGACTTACATACAGTGGAACCTCTACTTGCGAGTTAAATCCGTTCCATGACCTTGCTCGCTACTGGATTTGCTCGTTTGCAGTCAATTCTTCTCATTTAAATTAACTGAAATGCAATTAATCCATTCCAGTGGAATTCTGTACTTTAATAATTTCGCTAATATCAACTTTACGGCTTATTTATCTATCTCACTTGATCTAATATGACATAATAAACAATATAAATAACATAGAAACCTGATATATACTCTAAAATGAATAAAATACGTAATTCATGTAGTGGTATGGGCGGTGGACGACAGTTTGTCTGGAGACCAGACAAAATACTTCTTGAATAATTTCTCTAATATCATCTATATGGCTTATTTATCTATCACAATTAATTTAATATGACATAACAAACAATATAAATAACATAGAAACCTGATATATACTCTAGAATGAATGAAGTATGTCATTATATTTTTGTGGGGCAGGCAATGAGTGTTTGGAGACAGGACAAAATGCTCCTTGAATATTTCACTATCATCAACTCTACGCCTTATTTATCTATCACAGTTCATCTAATATGATATAACAAACAATACATTTCCATTGGGGTCCTTTTATATTTACACTTAATATATTTACTTTCATGCTTACACTTTTATATTTACACTTACATTGGAGGAGATGTTAGTTTAATTAGTTAGTTTTATGGAGGAGATGCCGGCAGAGGTTTAGGGTAGTGGAAGATAGCAGGCCAGCGTATGTTCAGCGGATATACACACACATCCAACAACATTGGAGAGTTACTTTTGTGTCGTTTTTCTATCGCTTACTCGCTTAACTTACTTGCTACACTGTTAATGCTACACTATTAATTCTGGCACTGTAGCCTTTATCAGTACCTGCTGCTTTCGTATCGTAGATATCGTAGAATCAATGAATCACTGCAGAAGCCACATTCTCCCTCTCTCTTCCTCCTCCACTTTGGTACTTTGCTACGAGGTTTTTCTTGAATTTTATTGTGTTTCTTTCCTTCTTTATCACAGGGCTGCCACTAGAAACTTTCTTTGGGCCCATGGTGGCTTATTTAGCAGTTACAAGCACTAAAAACACTGGAATAATACAAAATATATCGCAGATACATGTGGAATTGACGAAAACAGCTTGTAAACACTGGCAAACTGGCTGTACATAAAGTCTTGGAGTGGCTGGGCCCATTCAGGCTGTGCTCAGGCCGCATGGACATGTTCAGGACGAAAGCCTCTACACGAGTTTTCACCATTGGTAGAGCCAATTTTTTGACGCCAAAGAGAGCTGTTAGTCGATTTTGATGTTAGTCTATGCCGCTGTTGGTTGAGGGTCCACTGCACATCTTTGATATGCAAATTAAAAGTCCAAAAATGGAATTACATACTAAATTCAAGTCAAAACTAAAACAAGTACTGGGTTCCTAAATGCTGTAGTCCAGTCTTTTCTAACATGTCATTTAAAACCCTTTGACTGCCACGACCTAAAATCCTGAAGTGTGTCTCTGTGTCACAAAATATTTGGGGAAAAAAAAAAAAAAAAAAAAAAAATCTTATGAAATGACACCAAAAGTAAGAAATTTGATGGAAAACTCACAGAATTATGCTCTTGCAAATTAGCAATCTTGGCGTTATGTACACATCGGCGATTTTGCCCACTTTGAGCCCTACTTTTGGCCAATTTGATTGTTCCAGCTGACCAAGC